TATATATATACATATATATATGTATATATAAATGTGAGTGAGTGAGTGTGTATGTATGTATGTATGTGTGTATGTATGTATGTATGTATGTATGTTTGTAAGTAAGTATGTATGTGTGTATGTATGTATGTATGCATGTATGTACGTATGTATGTTTGTATGTATGTATTCATGTATGCATACATGTATGTATGTATGTATGTATGTATGTATGTATGTATAAATGTATGTATGTATGTATGTATGTGTGTATGTATGTATCTATGTACGTTGCATATATGTATGTATGTATGTATATATCTATATATATATAATATGCCGTTCTGGCTGAACCAAGCCAAAGTGATCGAGCATTGTGTGGCCCTGTTTCAATAAACGGGTCGAGGCGTTGTTCTCAAATACCCAAGGCAGACCCACAACCCAAGCCTTCAGGTCACCCGTCTGTCTCACACATAGATCACATGCACATAGCCCATATCCTCCGCACGCGCTGACAAGCCACACAGTCCACGCTTGCACCCCATCTGCCTGACCATCGGCGTACGTGCACTCGAACCATTCAGATTCAAATCCTATCTAAACGCGACACTCCAACTATGTCAATCTATTTGTTTGTAGACACTCCAACTATACCACTCTATTTGTAGACACTCGTACCATGTCCATCACCAGTCCTGTAGACAGATGAGCACTCACTGTGTTGCTGTGTTGCTGTGTCATTCACACGTCTCGGCTGTTCGGTCCTTCACGCGACATACAGTCAGCGTAACGCCTACGCCAAGTGCGTCTACTGTGGCGTGAGTATCGCGCGCGTCGGAGATGTATTTGACATGAATGCTGCAGGTGTGTGTGTGCATGTGCTCGTGTGAGCGTGTGAGCGTGTTTCACGTACTGGTGCACATGTGTGTGTGAGAAAGTATCTGTAGCGTCACGATGTGTGTGTATACAGGTATGTTGTAGTAGCATCATGGTGTGTGTGTGTGCATGTATGTTATGGTAGTATCACCATGCGTGTTTGTTCATGTCTGTTCATATACCTTCACCATGTGTGTATGTGCATGTCTGTTATGGTAGTATCACCATGTGTGTGTGTTCATGTCTGTTCATATACCTTCACCATGTGTGTATGTGCATGTATGTTATGGTAGTATCACCATCTGTGTGTGTTCATGTATGTACTTATACCTTCACCATGTGTGTATGTGCATGTATGTTATGATAGTATCACCATGTGTGTGCGTTCGTGTATGTACTTCTACCTTCACCATGTGTGTATGTGCATGTATGTTAGTCCTTAAGGGTCGGACCTTGCATGTTGTACGCTATGCCAATGCGTTGACGCGCATATCTCAACTCGGGAGATATAGAAACAAGCGTAGCATCTGCACATATGCGTTTGGTTGTGCTTATGTGTGCATTACATGCAGGCCCACCCACCCACCCACTACCACATACTAGTTAGACATACATTGCGTTCTACGGCAGTTTGCTGGCCTTCTCATATCACGGAATTTATATCCACAGTGCCATCTGATGAGGTTATAGACCCTTTTTGTATTCTACTCACAGACTCTCGCTATTCCACAAATTGGTTGCTATACCATGGTAATAACTCTCAGAACACAACACAACACAACACAACACAACACAACACAACACAACACAACACAACACAACACAACACAACACAACACAACACAACACAACACAACACAACACAACACAACACAACACAACACAACACAACGTAACACAACACAACACATGCACATCAAGACGGATATCTACAATCCGTTTACTTAGTCTGAGCATACGTCCCCATGTGTGTGTACCATTTCATCAGCCTGAGAACACGTCCCCATGAACGTATATACAGTCATACTCGTAATCACTATACCCCGTATCCCGCCTGCGTTCAGGCACTGTGCAGGCGTACGTCAACCCCCACGGCGTAGTACATGAGACGTTGACTGTCAAATGCATTCTGCGGCAGAATGTGCTGCTCTCCGGGCGTCCATGTGAACAGGACTCGTGGTTCCCCCAATACGCATGGACCATACTCAACTGTGCCGAGTGTGTATCTATTACTATCGTCTGCACAGTGTGTGTATTGAATGTGTGTGTAGCTGTGTGGGGTGTGTGTCTATTAATATCTTCTGTACAGTGTGTGTATTGAATGTGTTTTATAGCTGTGTGGGTTGTGTATCTATTACTATCTTCTGCACAATGTGTGTATTGAATGTGTGTGTAGCTGTGTTGGGTGTGTGCCTATTACTATCTTCTGCACAGTGTGTGTATTGAATGTGTTTTATAGCTGTGTGGGGTGTGTATCTATTACTATCTTCTGCACAGTGTGTGTATAGAACTATTACTATCGTCTGCACAGTGTGTGTATTGAATGTGTTCTATAGCTGTGTGGGGTGTGTATCTATTACTATCTTCTGCACAGTGTGTGTATTGAATGTGTGTGTAACTGTGTGGAGTGTGTCTCTAATACTATCGTCTGCACAGTGTGTGTATTGAATGTGTGTGGGCAGTGTAGTGTATGTACGTGTACCTGTGAGATGTGTATGTGGACAGTGTGTGTTTTGTATGTTTGTGTATGGGCTAAAGTCATACGTACGTTGGTGGTTAATGGGTTAGTACCGTGCAGTAGCTGTAGAGGTTTAGGTCTGTAGCTTTATTCAAGAGTGGCGGATGCTTGCGAGATTGGGTGCTGCCTGCAGTGTAGCGTGGGAAGGTGAGCGGGAGTTGTCAGACACTACCCCTGCTTACCATTCTCATAAAGCTGGTCAACATATGGGCTAACATGTGGTTCATATAGTGGGTTAAGTGTGGTTCCAAGGCTTGACTGCGTTGACTGCGCCAGAGCCGTCTGTCTAGCTACACTAAGGGACATAGGCAGTGATAACCTCTGCAGTTTAAGAGGGACGGAATACACACCCCACATCAGTTGGGGCGTGTGTTCCGAACTTTTCCTGTGAAGTTCCAATCACATATGTGGCAAGATATTTAAATACAAATGTAGCAAGCAGTTTAAGCTTTCGTGTAGAGTTGTATAAACGGGTGCGGATTGACTCCATCACGGTGCATTGAGTGGTCCTGGAATCCTACCACGCTCAATACGTACCAGCACTGTACTGCTTGTCCTGATGTATCAACATTGTACTGCCTGTCCTATTATACCAACATTGTATTACCTGTCCTATTGTATCAACATTGTACTACCTGCCCTATTATATTGTACTACCTGTCCTAATGTATCAACATTGTGCTGCCTGTCCTATTGTACCAACATTGTACTGCCTGTCCTGTTTTGACTAGTTCACTGCACTATAGACCAGTATCCCGGAGCCGTTGGTTTGTGTGGGATCTATGACTGTAAGCGTCGGCAATTTCTTCTCGTACTGACTATTGCTTTTCCGCTTCTGTATTCTCCTGGTTAATTGTCCACTACTGACAGGTGCTACCACCACCTGGGGTGGCGCTTCACTGCCACAACACAGCTTAACCCCAAAGAGTTCTGGGGGTTACGAAGGGCGTCAGTGATGTTCTAAGCCAGCCAGGGGCCCTGTAAGCTCTGTACCTGTGGATTGTATCCCGTGACAGAGTATCATCCCAGCGCTATTTCAGAAACTATAGGCCGTTTTAAAGTATAGGCAGTTTTAAATACTATATACAACGATTGGAGACCTATGTTCTCGGGTCCATTGATAGGAAGCGTGGACTCTCAATGAGTCGTGCGCATTTATTTCTGCGCTAAGGCGTTTTGTACACCCACCAGCCCAACGGCAGACCCACCGGATAAACGGCCTTACTGAATCGGACATCTGAGGTATGCGTTGCGTTAAACGATGGAGATCCTCGAAACACCCCCAACCAACGGCACCAACTATGACACACAGTTGATATATGAGACAATGCCCAACCAACGGCACCAACAATGACACAGTTGATAGATATGAGACAATGCCCGTAAAGTCCCCCAATCAACGGCACCAACTAAGACACACAGTTGGGAGATCGAGACAGTGTCCCGCTAGTCTCTCTCGTTCATATAGGCTCTTTTTCACCTCGTGAACCATGTGAGGGTTCAAAACTGCGCATGGGGCACGTATGATTGTCTCTGCCCGGTTGCAGCGGTTTCATAGATGGATCGCAAGTACGATGAATAAAATTAATTGATGCACGTTAGAAGTGGACAATTCCGTACTCTATCAGCCACAGGATATTATTTCTCTCATTGCGCCAGTTTAAACAAAATGACATGTACGCGGGAATGTTTATACTTGATACGATTCATCTGGTATCGTGCTACTATACACGCATATAAACGCATATACATGCATATATATATATATATATATTTATATATGTATATATATATATATATATATATGTGTGTGTGTGTGTGTGTGTGTGTGTGTGTGTGTGTGTGT